CATCTACCAAATGTTGTCTCTGTGTAATCATCTACCAAATGTAACCTCGGTGTAATCATCTACCAAATGTTGTCTCGGTGTAATCATCTACCAAATGTTGTCTCTGTGTAATCATCTACCAAATGTTGTCTCGGTGTAATCATCTACCAAATGTTGTCTCGGTGTAATCATCTACCAAATGTTGTCTCGGTGTAATCATCTACCAAATGTTGTCTCGGTGTAATCATCTACCAAATGTAACCTCGGTGTAATCATCTACCAAATGTAACCTCGGTGTAATCATCTACCAAATGTAACCTCGGTTTAATCATCTACCAAATGTTGTCTCGGTGTAATCATCTACCAAATGTAACCTCGGTGTAATCATCTACCAAATATTGTCTCGGTGTAATCATCTACCAAATGTAACCTCGGTGTAATCATCTACCAAATGTAACCTCGGTGTAATCATCTACCAAATGTAACCTCGGTGTAATCATCTACCAAATGTTGTCTCGGTGTAATCATCTACCAAATGTTGTCTCGGTGTAATCATCTACCAAATGTTGTCTCGGTGTAATCATCTACCAAATGTTGTCTCGGTGTAATCATCTACCAAATGTAACCTCGGTGTAATCATCTACCAAATGTAACCTCGGTGTAATCATCTACCAAATGTTGTCTCGGTGTAATCATCTACCAAATGTTGTCTCGGTGTAATCATCTACCAAATGTTGTCTCGGTGTAATCATCTACCAAATGTTGTCTCGGTGTAATCATCTACCAAATGTTGTCTCGGTGTAATCATCTACCAAATGTTGTCTCGGTGTAATCATCTACCAAATGTTGTCTCGGTGTAATCATCTACCAAATGTTGTCTCGGTGTAATCATCTACCAAATGTAACCTCGGTGTAATCATCTACCAAATGTTGTCTCGGTGTAATCATCTACCAAATGTAACCTCGGTGTAATCATCTACCAAATGTAACCTCGGTGTAATCATCTACCAAATGTTGTCTCGGTGTAATCATCTACCAAATGTTGTCTCGGTGTAATCATCTACCAAATGTTGTCTCGGTGTAATCATCTACCAAATGTTGTCTCGGTGTAATCATCTACCAAATGTAACCTCGGTGTAATCATCTACCAAATGTAACCTCGGTGTAATCATCTACCAAATGTTACCTTAGTGTAATCATTTAGCAAGTGATACCACACCTATCGCGGCCTCAGTGACTCCAGGAAGAATGAAAGTGATCGTAACATCGTGAGTATCGAGGATGTCACCAATGTGGCAAAAAATACGCAAGCGAAAAGAAAACTCTCACCAACAACAGAAACACCAGACATACTACCGACCAAAAGACACGGTAAACAACGACAGAAACACCAGACATACTACCGACCATCAGACACGGTAAACAACGACAGAAACACCAGACATACTACCGACCATCAGACACGGTAAACAACGACAGAAACACCAGACATACTACCGACCATCAGACACGGTAAACAACGACAGAAACACCAGACATACTACCGACCAAAAGACACGGTAAACAACGACAGAAACAACAGACATACTACCGACCAACGGACACGTTAAACAACGACAGAAACACCAGACATACTACCGACAAACAGACACGGTAAAGAACGACAGAAACAACAGACATACTACCTACCAACAGACACGGTAAACAACGACAGAAACAACAGACATACTACCGACCAACAGACACGGTAAACAACGACAGAAACAACAGACATACTACCGACAAACAGACACGGTAAAGAACGACAGAAACAACAGACATACTACCGACAAACAGACACGGTAAAGAACGACAGAAACAACAGACATACTACCTACCAACAGACACGGTAAACAACGACAGAAACAACAGACATACTACCGACCAACAGACACGGTAAACAACGACAGAAACAACAGACATACTACCGACCAACAGACACGGAAAACAATGACAGAAACACCAGACATACTACCGACAAACAGACACGGTAAACAACGACAGAAACACCAGACCCTTACAGATAAACACAGCAAAAATTAGAATGATAAAATTAATTTCTCAATATAACAATTGTCCACATATTGAGTCTACAGTGATAACATCTGTAAAAAATGGACCTTGTTTCTTAGTGTAATTCTATAAAAATAAAGACATTCTTTTTAGATTTGAGCATACACACTACAGTGTTGCACTTCTGTAGGTAGTACGTTAGGTCTCTGCCATCACCATTTGTCTATGTGAAGTTACGCTGCTAAAGATTTTTGTCTCTTTTAAACATTAACTATGTTAAATTCTTTATGATAACCACATTCATACAATTATAAAACCTCTAGCTTTTGTCAACAAGCGCACTTTTCTTATTCTGTATGAACATGTTCCTTGCTGTAAATGGATTTTACCTCCGGTTTAAGTCGTACAGGTCCAGAAACAGGTGTACATGTATGTAATATATTTTCGCTAAGTCTACACAATTCATTACACAAAATGTTTCCGCTTATGTGTAAAACTTATCATAGATTCGTTTATTATGATCTTCTGTTTATGAACAGAAATTGCCAATATTTAATCATTTTAATGTATCTCTTGAGGGGCAGAATACCTATGATAAATACTATTGTTTTGGGTAAAAGATTGAACTCAAAATAAATACTTACAAAACTTCAAGTACTTTCTTTTCTATCGCAATCGCCAACTGAAAATCCTATACTTCATATCCAGCACTTAACACAGGACAAACTAATATACCAAATGAACTATTGACATGTTTTTGTGTTTAATTTATAACTTTTTGCGACTGTTTTTCAAGTTGAAATACAGGTTTGATTTGGAGCTGTAACATGCTAACGTTAATTGCGCATCAGAAAACGACCTACTTGAAGTGAAATCAACCCAGAAAAAAAACTTAATTAAATCTGATTATTTGTGATAATCTTCCTCCCGAAATACCATCACTTTAGATTTATCAACACGGATTTTCTTCAATTTTCGTCGTTTACAATAACCAATTAAAATATCCAATCCATTTTGCAAACGGACACAGCATGGAACTAGCTTCCAGTGATATCGTCTGCAACAGTACAATTTTAAAAATCTCATATAAACACCCTCTATCCCTTCATACACTTGAATATGCAGATTAGTCACGTGATTTTTTCGTGGCTGCCTTCGTATAACATCGGATTGTATTTTATGTAATATCCACTTTTGTAAGATTTTCTTTGTTTTTATATTCCAACAAAATGTTTCGTAATAGATATTACTCGGCCTAAGTATGTGTTTAAGCTTGGCTTTATACAATAACTTAATGGAAATTTCCGGAATCTAATAAATTTGCTTGATTTGGGGTTTAAAAAGAATGGTTCATTGCTGTAACAATATCAAGTATGTTTCTAATTCCTAAGGATTCATTGCTTGTCTTTACTGTAACCCTGTATTAAATTGTGGTAGCTACTTATGAATATATTGTATCGTCTTCTTAATTTTCTCCAACGACAAAATATCTTCAACAACAAATTATCTTCAATCACAAATTATCTCAAACCACAAATTATCTCAAACCACAAATTATCTTTAATAACAAATTATCTGCAATGACAAATTATCTAACCACAAATTAATCTCTAACAACAAATTATCTCTAACAACAGATCAAATGGTTTTTGAAAAATCTACAGCAGTACAGACTAGCATTTAACTGTTAACAAAGCCAGAAATGTGGCCCTGTGATATATATATCGTATAAGGAAATAGAAAAGTTCCTATCGAGATCATGTGTAACGACAACGAACTTTCGCATATTCAATCTACATCTCCCGAAATCCTGTCATCTGTCAACTGTCGCTATCTTTAGCGGTATACTGGAAAAGTATAGACGATGCAGAATGACAAACACTTAAAACATTTCCTTAATCATGTATCTATTTTGTTTACACAACGGTGAAAACTAATGACAGATCACATCTACAACATCCCGGAACTTTGGAGACGTCTCTAACCGTCCTACAACGTTTAAACTATACACAACCTGGTCACAGGTTTTTACTTCTTAAATAATATATAAAGGTGCGCTGTGTAATGTCTTTTCTCCTTTTTGATACGTGACAAAGAAAACTTAAGTCATGTCGATTTTTTAGTTCATTTCATTTTGAATTTTTCTTAAATTTTTACAAAATGCCGCCAATACGATAAAAACTGCTTTTATCCAAAGTCTAAGAAGAGAGTTTCCTTTTAAGCTTAAACAGAGTTTTCATCAGACACATTGACAGCCATGACGTTTTTTTCTTAATTGTTCAAATTCAAAAACTGTCCAGCCCATTGAATTCAGCTTTTGATTTGCTTTGTAAAATAATGGAAAAAAATCAACATAAACAATTTTAGTACCAAACCTCAACTTCCGGTTCTCGTTATGGGCCAAAGTTTAAAAGTACTAATTTGAGTAACAAACTTTTTCTCACGTGCTGCAAAGTCCAGACCCTTGATAGTTCCTATACAAGGAACTTTTATCTTTGGCTATCAAGTTTGTTGAAAAAATTATCTTGATTCGCTTTCAAGTTCATGGGTTTCATTTTTTTTTTTTATCTTAAAATGGATTCTAACTCACAAACAAGAGGCAAAAGATGACGAAACATTGTACATAGTTTTCTTTCGGTTTCGGAAATGCTATTTCATTTTACAAATTTCCTCTCAAGTTTCACAACGTCTACATTTTTTTAGTTGTACAGTCCAGAGTCTAGATATGTAATATATAAATAGGTTGAACTGTTGGCTGTCATATTTGTGGAGATGATTGACCTTTAGGCAAAAGGTTAAATTCAGATGACAAACAATTTCTTGTTTATTTGTGTTTTTTTTCTAATTTGTGTATAGTAGCGTATATGTTAATACCAGGGTACTAGTAAACGATAACATGATAACAACGAGGAAGGACTGATTATAATCAGAACAAGGTTTGGTGACCTTGACCTGTAAATATGTAATACCTTTGTATTGTTCCTGACCTTGAGGCTCTGAGGACTTATCTGAAACAGAGAAACAAACATAAAATATCAGTGCCAAGTACCTATATTTATACCACTCATGAAGCATGAAACCTGAACAAGCATCAAGTTTTCTTGTTTTTAGTTTTGTTTTTTTTATTGCGAAACACGGAAAAAGTGTCATACGTAATTTGCGTGAGAGATTCCCCCCCCCCCCCCCCCCCCCCCCCCCCCCCCCCACAAAGACCTGGGGTGTGATATTAATACAAAAAAGACAATTCAAGGCGAAATAAAAATATCCTTGATCAATCAATCAATCAATCAATCAATCAATCAATCCAATCAATTACTTTTTTTTTAAAATGTTGTGTGAATTCATTGTTTAAAAATTGCCACGTGATGAAGAATGAACTCTCGCCTGTGCGCGACATCCGTCTGTTTTATGTTTTGTGTTAAGTTCATATTATGATAATCTCGCCTGTACGGGACATCTGTCTGTTTTATGTTTTGTGTTAAGTTCATATTATGATAATCTCTCGCCTGTACGGGACATCTGTCTGTTTTATGTTTTGTGTTAAGTTCATATTATGATAATCTCTCGCCTGTACGGGACATCTGTCTGTTTTATGTTTTGTGTTAAGTTCATATTATGATAATCTCTCGCCTGTACGGGACAACCGTCTGTTTTATGTTCTGTGTTAAGTTTATATCATGATAAACTAGACCGTAGAGTGTTTTATCTATATAGTGACGTCCTAATGTGGAGACACTGGTGTGATTGTTGACAAAAAAACAATACCACACGTTATCTGTAATGTGGAGATACTGGTGTGATTGTTGACAAAAAAACAATACCACATGATATCTGTAATGTGGAGATACTGGTGTGATTGTTGACAAAAAAACAATACCACATGATATCTGTAATGTTTTGAGTATTATTTTCCACAGATGTGAAAACAACCATGTAAATATTTGCTAAAACTACATCACAAGATCCATTGCGTGCTAACTGAAAGTCCTATAGATCCCGCCAACTTCCCCACACCATAAAATACTTTCACTTCTCTATTCCATTTCTCGCGTGACCAAGTCTGACGCCACAAATGCGTCATGGAGATGACAACAGTATACAGAGATGTTCAACCTAAAGGCTCCACTGTTGGTAAGAACTCCACTAATTAACACTTGATAAAAATGGTTTCCTTTGGAGTTTATACTTGTTATGAATGACAGATGGCGTTTATACATCTTATGAATGACAGATGACGTTTATTACATGATATAAATGACAGATGACGTTTATACATCATATGAATGACAGATGAAGTTTATTACATGTTATGAATGACAGATGACGTTTATACATGTTATGAATGACAGATAGCGTTTATATGTGTTATGACTGACAGGTGGCGTTTATACATGTTATGAATGACAGATGGCGTTTATACATGTTATGAATGACAGATAGCATTTATATGTGTTATGACTGACAGATGGCGTTTATACTTGTTATGAATGACAGATGGCGTTTATACATGTTATGAATGACAGATGACGTTTATTACATATTATGAATGACAGATGACGTTTATTACATGTTATGAACGACAGATGACGTTTACTACATGTTATGAATGACAGATGGCGTTTAAATGTGTTATGACTGACAGATGGCGTTTATACTTGTTATGAATGATAGATGGCGTTTATTACATGTTATGAATGACAGATGGCGTTAATACATGTTATGACTGATGATGATGATGATGATGATGATGATGGTGATTGTGGTGTTGGTGGTGGTATCTAAACACACCTACATAGAACCTACAAACATTCCAACAAAAAATAGCTGTACACAATACCCACAACATTTCCTCTACATTCTGTCCCCGACACCCCGATGTGTGATGTATCCCGTCACACAACAGTACATCTATCACAAGACACGTCTCTCGTTCATTTGGAGTCATCGATACATACCTGGTGAAGCACCTTTTTTTCTTAGCTTAGACCAGAAACTATTCCAAATTCCACCACTCATGCTGATAAATGTTACGTAGAAACGGACAGACGATGAAAAAGAGAAGGACGGCGACAATGTACAACGGACAAGAAACATAAACATATACAGTACAAGTAAACGAAGCAGCTGACCGGGATTTTAACTAACAGGAAATAAATCTTTGTAGGGAGGCTCCGACGGGGTAATTTATAGTTCTTGTCAATGACCTTGTGTGTATTGTGTACACACTATCAGAATGTAAACTACCAAATTTTACTTGAATTTAAATTTAAAATGAAGTTTATTTTTTCATTGTATTGAAGTACAGAACTTGACATAACAATATTAACAAATTTACTGTATTCAAATAACCTATAACAGCATTTCCAGCTCTTCAAATTCCCAGACAGTTTAAAAACCACTTAATATATACATGTACTTAGTATCTGTCATATTTTATATCAGCTATATTTCATGTAATAATTGTTTATCTGTATACATCAACCCCAAAACATGAGACGAGCCATCTTTGAACGTCGTCCTCATGTAACTTTTTATCTCAAGATTTAGAATTATCGAGCCTTCCGACACACTTTATCATAATAAAATCTGGAACAGAACAATACATGTTAAAAAATCAAATTTATTTAATGTTGTGTTTTTAACAATAAAACATTATTTTAATAGTGTTGTTCTTTGGACTATAAAACAGGCGTATTCTTTGTGGGGTAGAACGTTTTGAAAATATCAGAACTCGGGTATGGTCTTAATATCACTGGACTGCCTTCTTCCGGTAGCATGAGTCCTGTTACACCTTACGATTCGATGGTAACATTTTTTTGTACACAATACAGGAAAATCTCACACGTTACAAAGTACTAGGTGGGTATGTATCGTCCAGCCTTCATGGTGTCTTTACGTGATAGTTGCTGCCACGTGAGGTCACGGTTAAAATGACGTCATACTCAGTTGTCTCTCTAGCGCTATACTGCGAAAGGAACCAATATACATTTATCTGATGGAAGTAGTTGAGAAGGTTCTGCTACTATTATTATCATTATTATCTCTCAGACTCCGATTCTCGAGCTCTCGAACTCTCAGTCTCAGTCTATCTCTATCTCAGTCTGTCTATGACTATCTCAATCTCAGTCTATCTCAGTCTCAGACTATCTCAGTCTCAGTCTATCTCAGTCTATCTCAGTCTCAGTCTATCTCAGTCTCAGACTATCTCAGTCTCAGTCTATCTCAGTCTCAGTTTATCTCAATCTCAGTCTATCTCAGTCTCAGACTATCTCAGTCTCAGACTATCTCAGTCTCAGTCTATCTCAGTCTCAGTCTATCTCAGTCTCAGACTATCTCAGTCTCAGTCTATCTCAGTCTCAGTCTATCTCAGTCTATCTCAGTCTCAGTCTATCTCAGTCTCAGTCTATCTCAGACTATCTCAGTCTCAGTCTATCTCAATCTCAGTCTATCTCAGTCTCAGACTATCTCAGTCTCAGTCTATCTCAGTCTATCTCAGTCTCAGTCTATCTCAGTCTCAGACTATCTCAGTCTCAGTCTATCTCAGTCTCAGTTTATCTCAATCTCAGTCTATCTCAGTCTCAGACTATCTCAGTCTCAGTCTATCTCAGTCTCAGTCTATCTCAGTCTCAGTCTATCTCAGTCTCAGACTATCTCAGTCTCAGTCTATCTCAGTCTCAGACTATCTCAGTCTCAGACTATCTTAGTCTCAGTCTATCTCAATCTCAGTCTATCTCAGTCTCAGACTATCTCAGTCTCAGTCTATCTCAGTCTCAGACTATCTCAGTCTCAGTCTATCTCAGTCTCAGTCTATCTCAGTCTCAGTCTATCTCAGTCTCAGACTATCTCAGTCTCAGTCTATCTCAGTCTCAGTCTATCTCAGTCTCAGTCTATCTCAGTCTCAGACTATCTCAGTCTCAGTCTATCTCAGTCTCAGTCTCAGTCTCAGTCTATCTCAGTCTCAGTCTATCTCAGTCTCAGTCTATCTCAGTCTCAGACTATCTCAGTCTCAGTCTATCTCAGTCTCAGTTTATCTCAATCTCAGTCTATCTCAGTCTCAGTCTATCTCAGTCTCAGTCTATCTCAGTCTCAGTCTATCTCAGTCTCAGACTATCTCAGTCTCAGTCTATCTCAGTCTCAGTTTATCTCAATCTCAGACTATCTCAGTCTCAGTCTATCTCAGTCTCAGTCTATCTCAGTCTCAGTTTATCTCAATCTCAGACTATCTCAGTCTCAGACTATCTCAGTCTCAGACTATCTCAGTCTCAGTCTATCTCAGTCTCAGTTTATCTCAATCTCAGTCTATCTCAGTCTCAGTCTATCTCAGTCTCAGTCTATCTCAGTCTTAGTCTATCTCAGTCTCAGTCTATCTCAGTCTCAGACTATCTCAGTCTCAGTCTATCTCAGTCTCAGTCTATCTCAGTCTCAGACTTTCTTAGTCTCAGTCTATCTCAGTCTCAGACTATCTCAGTCTCAGACTATCTCAGTCTATCTCACTCTCAGTCTATCTCAGTCTCAGACTATCTCTGTCTTAGTCTATCTCAGTCTATCTCAGTCACAGACTATCTCAGTTTCTGTCTATCTCAGTCTCAGTCTATCTCAGTCTCAGTCTATCTCAGTCTCAGTCTATCTCAGTCTCAGACTCAGTCTGTTTCAGTCTATCTCAGTCTCAGTCTCAGTCTATCTCAGTCACAAACTATCTCAGTTTCTGTCTATCTCAGTCTCAGTCTATCTCAGTCTCAGTCTATCTCAGTCTCAGTCTATCTCAGTCTCAGACTCAGTCTGTTTCAGTCTATCTCAGTCTCAGTCTATCTCAGTCTCAGTCAATCTCAGTCTCAGTCTGTCTTAGTCTCAGTCTATCTCAGTCTTAGTCTATCTCAGTCTCAGTCTGTCTTAGTCTCAGTCTATCTCAGTCTTAGTCTATCTCAGTCTCAGTCTATCTCAGTCTATCTCAGTCTCAGACTATCTCAGTCTCAGTCTATCTCAGTCTCAGTCTATCTCAGTCTCAGTCTATCTCAGTCTCAATCTATCTCAGTCTCAGACTATCTCTGTCTCAGACTATCTCAGTCTATCTCAGTCTATCTCAGTCTCAGACTATCTCAATCTCAGTCTATCTCAGTCTCAGACTATCTCTGTCTCAGACTATCTCAGTCTATCTCAGTCTATCTCAGTCTCAGACTATCTCAGTCTCAGTCTATCTCAGTCTCAGACTATCTCTGTCTCAGTCTATCTCAGTCTCAGACTTTCTTAGTCTCAGTCTATCTCAGTCTCAGACTATCTCAGTCTCAGACTATCTCTGTCTATCTCAGTCTCAGTCTATCTCAGTCTCAGACTATCTCAGTCTCAGACTATCTCAGTCTCAGACTATCTCTGTCTATCTCAGTCTCAGTCTATCTCAGTCTCAATCTATCTCAGTCTCAGACTATCTTAGTCTCAGTCTATCTCAGTCTCAGACTATCTCAGTCTCAGTCTATCTCAGTCTCAGTCTATCTCAGTCTCAGTCTATCTCAGTCTCAGACTATCTCTGTCTCAGACTATCTCAGTCTATCTCAGTCTATCTCAGTCTCAGACTATCTCAATCTCAGTCTATCTCAGTCTCAGACTATCTCTGTCTCAGACTATCTCAGTCTATCTCAGTCTATCTCAGTCTATCTCAGTCTCAGACTATCTCAGTCTCAGTCTATCTCAGTCTCAGACTTTCTTAGTCTCAGTCTATCTCAGTCTCAGACTATCTCAGTCTCAGACTATCTCTGTCTATCTCAGTCTCAGTCTATCTCAGTCTCAGTCTATCTCAGTCTTAGTCTATCTCAGTCTCAGACTATCTCAGTCTCAGACTATCTCAGACTATCTCAGTCTCAGACTATCTCTGTCTTAGTCTATCTCTGTCTCAGTCTATCTCAGTCTCAGACTATCTCAGTCTCAGACTATCTCAGTCTCAGTCTATCTCAGTCTTAGTCTATCTCAGTCTCAGTCTATCTCAGTCTCAGACTATCTCAATCTCAGTCTATCTCAGTCTCAGACTATCTCAATCTCAGTCTCAGACTATCTCAGTCTCAGACTATCTCAGTCTATCTCAGTCTCAGACTATCTCAGTCTCAATCTGTCTTAGTCTCAGTCTATCTCAGTCTCAGTCTATCTCAGTCTCAGACTATCTCAGTCTCAGTCTATCTCAGTCTCAGTCTATCTCAGTCTCATTCTATCTCAGTCTCAATCTGTCTTAGTCTCAGACTATCTCAGTCTCAGTCTATCTCAGTCTTGGTCTATCTCAGTCTCAGTCTATCTCAGTCTCAGTCTATCTCAGTCTCAGTCTGTCTCAGTCTCATTCTATCTCAGTCTCATTCTATCTCAGTCTCAATCTGTCTTAGTCTCAGACTATCTCAGTCTCGGCTTAAACTTTTGAATCTGATCTAGATTTGATTGATATTAGATAGCGTGTTGTACATACTTATCTATGAATGGAATAAAACATTTATTTGATAGAGACACCTAATTTTGTATTTTTTTTTTTTTCAATGGTAATTTGATTTCATTCTTTCCGGCTAAAGTTAATTGGCTGATAGAACCTGTACTATATTTCAACCTAGTTGAAGTGTCGGTGGCTTCGGAATACACTTAAGATATAATTACACAACCAAGTAGTCTCTATACTTTCCTATTTGTGAGTTTTACGATACCAAAGGTCATGAGCTAGTGAACAACGTAAAGCGCGAGAGGATGATCTCGTGCTTGAGAAGGAAGTACATATAAATGTATGTGTCATCAGCATTTTGTTGTCTCTGCATGTCTCAACCTCAACGTCCTGATCAACATATGTCACACTAACGATGTACCGAGCATTTTGTTGTCTCTGCATGTCTCAACCTCAACGTGCTGATCAACATACGTCACACTAACGATGTACCGAGCATTTTGTTGTCTCTGCATGTCTCAACCTCAACGTGCTGATCAACATACGTCACACTAACGATGTACCGAGTTCAACTTGAAGAGTAGCTCGGGTTTTTGTCTTACAATATGTCTTTCATCCAGTGAAATCGTCCACATGTTTACATGTCAATCGCGTTATATATCCTGAAATGTTTTTCATTGGTTGCTCCGATCTGAAATTGATTA